TTAAATAAATTTATTTAATTCGTTCGTTGATTTAATTTGTTTGTTTATTTAATCTGTTTATTTAATTTATTTGTTTATTTAATTTATTTTGTTTATTTAATTTGTTTTGTTTATTTAATTTGTTTTATTTATTTAATTTGTCTATTTAATTCGCTTTGTTCGCTGAATATGTTTATTTGTGTTTTTTTTTCTTTATTTTATTGATGTGGTTTATTTGTTTAAGATATTTTATTTATTTATTTATTTATTTATTTATTTATTTGTTTATGCTAACTTCATCCCCCTAAAGAAAAAAATATAGCACCAGCCAGTAGAAGTATAATATATAAATACAGCAAACATAAAAATCAAATTAAAAAAAAAGAAGTCCTACACGACGAGACAAACAACGCCAAACCCTAAACCCTAAACCCTAAACCCTAAACCCTAATAACCACCACTCCCGCTGCCCTTGCATGCATGCATAGAATGCATGCATAGAATGAATGCATGCATATATTCATATAATGCATGCATCCATTCATATAATGCATGCATGCATGCATGCATTCATATAATGCATGCATACATTTATAGAATGCATGCATTCATTTACACAATGTTTGCATGCATTTTGCGTTATATAAATATTTAGAGTTTGTTTGAGGGCTCTTGAATACCTGAAAAGTCATAGTCATTTTATTAAAAGCACTTAAAACCAAAAAAGAAATGCAGATGCATGCAGAGACAATTAAAAAGCCCTAAAACAAACAAACAAATACACATAGATGTACACCTCAGCTATAAATATATATATATATATCATATTTATATTATACCTCAGGTGTATATACACCTCAGCTGTATATACACCTGATCAAGTGCAATTCTGCAGTGTATATACACCCGGCGAGACAAAAGAGAAAAGAAGAACAATTAATAATAATAATAATAAATTATAATAAAATAATAATAAAATAATAAAAGAAGATAAAAGAATAATAAAAGAAATTGTATAATGATGTCTCCATACACCTAAACAAATACTAAAAAATAAAAAAAAGCGATTGACAGCAGACTGCCGGGTGTATAGGCACCTCAATAAAGTAAAAGAAAAAGAAATAAACAAACAAACAAACAAATAAATAAATAATAAGCAAACAAACAAACAAATAAATAATAAACAAAAGAAAGAAGACAAAGACAGACAGACAAATGCAGCAAAACAAAAAGAAAGACTCCGAAATAACAATCAAACACCAACTCATCCACGTTGCTGCTACTGCTGCTGGTGCTGCTACTGCAGCAGCAGCAGCAGCAGCAGAAGCAGTTGCTGCTGCTGCTGCTGCTGGTGCTGCTGCTGCTCGGCGACATATTTTATACGGCCGCATTAATTATCATATTAATAAACTTGAGGTGTACACACCTCTCTCTCTCTCTCTCTCTCTCTCTCTCTCTCTCTCTCTCTTCTTTTTCTTCTGCATGCTCCTTTTTGTTTGCTTGTTTTATTCTTAGTCTCACCTGTGCTGCTGCTGCTGAGAGGGGCTCGCGTTTTGTGTAATAACGAAAGCAATTGCCTCGCATTCGGGTGTCTGCACAGCTCTGCTTCTGCTGTTGCTGGTGCTGCTGCTGCTGCGGTTGGTGCTGCGGAGATGCAACCGGCAGCACTCTGCTGCTACTGCTGCTGCTGCTACCAGGTGCCTCTCCACGCGAACCTGAAACACCTGTTGTTGTTGTTGTTGTTGTTGCTGCTGCTGCTGCTGCTGCTGCTCGCTTAGGCAGACCGGATCTCCGAGAAGCCCCAAAAGGAGACTGAGAGAGAAAAGCACAAGACACGGCTGCTTCCGCTTATGCTGCTGTTGCTGCTGCTGCTGCAACAGCAGCAACACGTTACACCGGCAGCAACAGCAGCAGCAGGATTAGCAGCAAGCAGCAGCAACAGCAGCAGCAGCTTTTGCTTCCTACCGCAGCAGCTTGTCTTTGGGTGCGTTCATCAACTTCGTGTCTGTATGTACAACCCGACCCTAAAATGCAGAGACCTGCAGCAATACACAAAGGCTGCAGCAGCAGCAGCAGCAATATAAACAGCAGCAGCAGCAGCAGCAGCAGAGCAGCATCTGCGGCTGCACTTCCCAAGGATGCAGCAGCAGACATCTCAAAACAGCGACAAAACTAGCAGCAGCAGCAGCAGCAGGACGCGTGCATCTGCCCTGTAACGGCAGCAACCACACCAAAAGCAGCAACAAGTGCAACAGCAGCAGCAGCAGCAGCAGCAACAGCAGCAGCAGCAACAGCAGAGTACCTTGAAGAAATTTGCCGCATACAGGGACAATATCTGCTGGGTGGGCTTTCTCACACGGGTCGGAGAAACAAAGGCCTGCAGCAGCAGCAGCAGCAGCAGCAGCAGCAGCAGCAGCAGCAACAGCACAAGCAGCAGCAGCGGGTACACTCTTTACGAAGCAGAAAAAGAGCACACAGGCATCCTGCTGCGATGTCTACAGCAGCAGCAGCAGCAGAGATTCGGCTGAGGTGTCTGCAGCAGCAGCAGCAGCAGCAGCAGCAGCAGCAGCAATCCTGCTGGGGTGTCTAGGCAGCTAGTCAATTGCTTCACCTTTTAAATACAAACAACAGACCGAGCCTTCATTCGGGTCGTGGAAGAAGGGACAGCTCGATCCCCGCAAACAATGCCCTGCATGCAGCAGCAGCAGCAGCAGCAGCAGCAGCAGCAGCAACAGATGGAGCAGCAGTATACCAGCAGCAGATGCAGGTGCAGCAGATGCAGTAGCAGCAGATGCAGCAGCAGATGCAGCAGGAGCAGGTAAAGAAGCGATAGCAGATGCAGCGATAAGACACATCAGTGCAAGAGCAGCAGCAGCAGCAGCAGCAGCAACAGTTACCTCTGGCGAAGAATTTGCATGCGAGTATAGTAGGGACAGTTTTGTGCTGCTGAGGCTTCAGGAAGCTCCAGCTGCCTCGCAGCTTTCTTGCTGCTGGTGCTGCTTCTGCTGCTGCTGCTGCCGGTGCTTCTGCAGCTGCTGCTGCTGCTGCTACGGGGATGAAGGCGGAAGCAGCAGCAGCTGAAGCTGCCTCTGATGATGGGGTTGGCGGTGTTGTTGCTTCGGAGGCATCTCTAGTAGAACTGCTGCTGCTGCTGTTGCTGCTGGTGCTGCTGCTGCCATCCGGACTCTCTACTGCTGCTGCTGCTGCTGCTGCTGCTGCTCCTTTTAAGCATGAGCTTGCCCCTTGCTGCTCGTGTACCGCAGCAGGTGGAGTTGCAGCAGCAGCAGCAGCAGCACCAGAAGTAAGGGGAGCAGCAGCAACAGGAGCAGCAGCAGCAGCAGCAGCAGCAGCAGGAGCAGCAGCAGCAGCAGGAGCAGCAACGAGTTTGTTCCAATCTTTATTTGCTGCCCAGCGCAAAGCAAAGCGATGCCTGAGGGCCCTGCGAGATTCTAAGGCCTCCAGCAGACGCCTTCGCTTCTCCTGCAGCTGCAGCAGGTGCTGCTGCTGCTGCTGCTGCTGCTGTAGCTGCTGCTGCTGTAGCTGCTGCTGCTGTAGGTGTAGCTGATGATGCTGTAGCTGCTGCTGTTGTAGCTGCTGCTGCGCGACAGCATACAACTGCTGCTGCTGCTGCTGCTGCATGACTGGCTGTAGATTCAACAGAGGCTGCGGAGGGGCAACGAGAGATTCATAGTAAGGGAATGCTGCTGCTGCTGCTTCAGGTGTGTCTGCTGCTGCTACTGCTGCTGCATAGTGGCTGCTGCTGGGCGAGTAACGAACAGCTGCTGCTGCTGCAGCTTCTGCTGCTGCAGCCTCTGCTGCGGCTGTTGCTGCTGTAGCTGCTGCAGCCTCTGGTACTGGCATTTCGATTGGTCTCGTCCATGAGAGCTGAGCTGAAGACAGCAGCAGCCGCTGCTGCTGCTGCTGTTGCTGCTGTGTCTCGGGCTGTTGAGGGCTGTGTAGGCATTGTTGCTGCTGCTGCAGCAGGAGCTGCTGCTGTTGAGGGCTGCTGCTGCTGCGCCTGGCAGCCTGTAGTCTCTGTTTGAGTGCAGCCGCCTGTGTCAGTAGCGTAGCATTGCCATTGGGTGCAGCAGCAGCACCAGCAGCTGCAGCAGCAGCAGCTGTTGCTGCTGCTGCTGCTGAAGATGATGATGCCTTATCACCCCTCTTTCTGCTCTTGCTGGTGCGAGAAACGCGTTTAGAATGCCGGGAGGTGCGGCTTTTGTGTTTATAATTTGTGTTCGTGCAGAATAAAGAAGAAGTGCTGCAGTCTGAGGTGTCTGTACAGTCGGAGTGGCGGCTGCAGCGTCGACTGCTGCGCACCATTTGCAGAAATAATAAAAATAAAAAGAAGTAGACAAATAAAAATATAAATATAAATAAAAATATTAATACTAATGTTAATATTATATTAAAATGCAGGACAAACAATACCGTACACTCAAACGGAAGACACTCATACTCAACACTATGCATGCGCTAAACCCTAAACCCTAAACCCTAAACCCTAAACCCTAAACCCTAAACCCTAAACCCTAAACCATAAACCCTAAACACTAAACCCTAAACCATAAAAACCCTAAAAATTCCTCAGGCAGGGGTCTCTGCTTCATCTAATTTGACCCATCTCATAATAACCCGTCAAGCCTGTCATCAAAACCCTAAACCCTAAACCCTAAACCCTAAACCTTTGGCTCCAGCATGTTGGTCTAAATTGTTCGGCTGCAGATCCTGCAAAGTAGGCCCTTACCATCAAACCCTAAGCCCTCAACCCTAAACCCTAAGCTGTAATATCCGGAAACCCTAAACCCTAATTCGTCGGTTATAACCCGTGAAGCCTTGGCTCTACGTTCTGTAAACCCTAAACCCTAAACCCTAAACCCTCGGGGTTTAGCGAATGAAGGAGTACTTCAAGAATTCTCGAAAGAGGGCAGTCTTTGCTCCATGGCTTGGGCCTTTAGGTGCTGCTGAGGCACCCCTCGGGTGTATATACACCCGAGCTATACCTGCAGCAGCAGCAGCAGCAGCAGCAGCAGCATCAGGAAGAGCTGCTGCTGCTGCTGAGGAGTGGGGGGTTATTCGACAAGAAGTGCTGCATGCAGATGCACTTGCTGCTGTCGGGACGCTCGTTGAAACACAAAGAAGAAAATATACTAATAATATAATCAAAAGCAGCCGAAAAACATATTGCGTACTCTGCGAGAAACAAGGTAAACCCTAAACCCTAACCCTAAACCCTAAGCCTAAACCCTAAACCCTAAACCCTAACCCTAAACCCTAAACCCTAATCCTAAACCCTAAACCCTAACCCTAAACCCTATACTCTAAACCCTAAACCCTAAACCCTAACCCTTAACCCTAAACTCTAAACCCTAAACTTTTAACCCTAAATCCTAAACGCTAAACCGTAAACTCTTAGCTCTACGCCCTAAACCAACAGCGCTAAACCCTGATCTCTAAACCCTAAACCCTAATCCTAAACTCTAAACCCTAAGCCATAAGCCCAAAACCCTAAACCTTAAGCTGAAAACCCTAAACCGTAAACCCTAAGCCATTAACCCTAAACCCTAAACCCTAAACCCTAGAAGTGAGTATGGGAGCATCCCTTTGGGGTGTACATGGAGGTGTATGAATTGTTTTTTTATTGTTTTTGTTTGTGTTATAGAAGTGAAGGCATCAGAACTTCGCTGCTCTTCTTGTATTCTTTTAGAAGAAAGCGGAGGTGCCTATACACCCCAGGGTGTCTCTGCATTAACTCAGGGAAGGAACGGCCTCCTCCGAGACGGCTACAACCCCAACAAAGCATTTACTGATGATAAAGGGGTTGCAGCAGCAGAAGCAGCAGCAGCAGCAGCAGCAGGAGAAGGTACCAGCAGCAGCAGCAGCAGCAGCAGCACAAGCAGCAGCAGCAGCAGCAGCAGTAGTAGTAGTAGCAGCAGCTGGGGTGTACGTACAGATGAGGATGTGTGGGGGGTGAGAGAGGCGCTGCTGCTGCATGCGTTTGGGGCTGGAGTAGAAGATGATGAAGAAAAAGATAAAGACGAGCGGCCTGCTGTTTGGTGTCAGCAGAAGTGCTGCAGACAAGAGACAGAAACTAAAGGCATGCTTATCTGCACCAGGTGTATGCGGGCCTTCCACGCCTCGTAAGATGCACCCCACACACACCTCCGTATACACCCCAAATATATATATATATATATATTATATATATTGTTGTATTGATGTATACGTATATATATGCATATATATATATTATGTATATAATACTATCAGTAGGCTCTATATACACCCCAAAGGCATCTGCATGTACACCCCAAATCATTATATATACATATATATATATATATATATAATACTAGGCCCTATATATACCCCAAAGCCAGCTGCATATACACTCCAAATCATTAGATACAATAGTATGCTGTATATACATTTAAGAATGTTATTTAATACACCAGCTCGGCATACAGCTCAACATATTAATCTTCAGGTGTATATGCACCTCAAAATATTATACAAACTAAATAGCTGTGCATACACCCCAAATTATATATTTAATTGCATCCATCTGCACTGAAAACCCACAACACAACATTTAATCATTCGCTGCAGCAGCAACACCCCACACATCCATTATAACGAAAACTCAGGTGTATAGGCACCTCAGAATTTCAGGTGTATAGGCACCTCAGAATTTCAGGTGTATAGGCACCTCCGACCTGCAGATACACCCCAATAAGCGTAGTATACCTCAAAATGCCTTTCTTCTCCTTCACACTCCAAAGGTGCCTCTACACCTCAGAGGTGCCTATACACCCCAAATGCGCTTATACACCTCAGAGGTGCCTATACACCTCAAAGGTGCCTGTACACCCCAGATGTGCTTTTAAACCTATCTATACACATTAGAGGTGCCTATACACGCCAGAGGTGCCTATACACCGCAGGGGTGCCTATACACGTCAGAGGTGCCTATACACCTCAGAGGTGCCTATACACCGCAGATGTTTGTGCGTTTGCAGATGCTGCGAGCCGCCTTTGAATTTTGAGATGGTGACGAGATTCCTGTGGCAGTGTGCAGACTGCAAGGTGGGAGAAGAAAGAAGAAAGAAACACAAAAATAAATCAAGAAGAGACAGATTATATAATATATAATATATATAATATAGATATATATATATATATATATAGAGAGAGAGAGAGAGAGAGAGAGAGAGAGCGAGAGAGACGTAGAGAGAGACGTAGAGAGAGAGAGACAGAGACAGAGAGAGAGAGAGACGTAGAGAGAGAGAGAGACAGAGAGACAGATAAAGAGAGAGATAAAAGATAAAAGATATAGAAAGAGATAGACAGAAAAACACAGAAATAAAGGAGACAGAAAGAGAGTCAGGAAAGACAGAGAGAGACGACAGACAATAAATAACCCGATAAATAAATTATTTATTTATTTATTTATTTATTTATTTATTTGTTATTGTTTATGTTTAGATATGCGAAGTTTGCTACTCAAACTGTAATGAAGAGACAATGTTAATATGCGATGCCTGCGACCGAGCCTTTCATATGGAGTGCCTGTCTCCGCCTGTTGAGGAGGTAAGCTGTCTCCTTCTCTTTTTTATTCTTTAATTATATTAATTATATTATCTTTTTGCTGCTTTGTCTGTTATTATCTCCTTGGGTGAACTGCGCAGCGTCGGCTTCTCTCTCTGTCTCTGTCTGTCTCTCTTTCTCTGTCTCTCTGTCTCTCTGTCTCTCTCTGTCTCTCTGTCTCTCTGTCTCTCTGTCTCTCTCTGTCTCTCTCTCTCTGTCTCTCTGTCTCTCTCTCTCTGTCTCTCTGTCTCTCTCTCTGTCTCTCTCTGTCTCTCTCTCTGTCTCTTTATATCTTTCTCTGTCTCTTTGTGTATCTCTTTATTTTTTATCTGTCTGTTTATCTTTTTATTATTACGCGTTCTTCTCTTTCACCGTTTTTGTCTGTCTCTTTTTGTTTTATTATATTTTTATTTTTTGTTTATTATTTGCTCTGTGTATTTTAATTTAAATATATTTATATGTTCTCTTCGACTTCTTCTCTTTGTCTATTTAAATATATAAAAACATATATCTTTATTTGTCTCTGTCTCTACTTAAATATATATATATATAAACATATATCTTTACTTATCTCTGTATCTACTTAAATATATATATAAACATATATCTTTATTTGTCTCT